CTCATGTCAATACACATTTCGGCATATTTCGTCATTGAAGGTCAAAGAGTCCAGGTTTATTTCGTATTTGTTGACAACAGTTTCCAAGTCAGTTCATTCACGAACGCCCGTATGTGACCACCTAATTACGCAGGGATTGTTGTATTCAACTTTGGATTGTGGACCGTGTTTTGTGGATCTTGTTTTGTGTTATCTGAAAAATGGCTAATTTTTACACAAATTCTGAAATAACGGATATTCATTTTATATATGGCAGAGCAAAGGGCAATGCTTCAAAAGCAACACGCTTGTATCATGCAGCTTATCTGAATCGCCGACAGCTAAGTAGAAGAATGTTTAGCAAAATTCATCAACACTTACGTGAGACCGGACAGTTCAAACCAAATTTAGTTGATTGCGGTAGACTGCGACTTATTAGAACTGTTATCAACAAATATGGAATAAACCCGGAATCTTTGAACGTGTTCGATCTTCAATGAAAAGACGTGCCGAATTGTGTGTTGAAATGGACGGAGGGCACATTGAACATTTATTGTAAATTTTAGTTATTTTCTATTTTACACAGAATAAAATGCTTCATAACTCAGAAATAAAAGGTTTTTGGAGTACTGTTCATTAAGACTTTTTGGTTTGTTTTAACGAGTACTACATACCCCTAAAATTTGGTACCACCTTTTGGAAACACCCTGTATATATATATATATATATATATATATATATATATATATATATATATATATATATATGCAAGGTGTTGAAAAAAAAGGGTCACATATTTTGATAGCAGGTAGTATTGATCAAAACAAGAAGAAAAGATCTAATTAACATGGGTCCTAAGACTAATATCTTCTAAAATATAAGCTATTTTGTTATTTGAGCTCTTTGTCATTTTCTTATTAGTTGTGTCATCTTTAAAATGTAATAAACAAAGAAGTAGGGGAGAGTGGGGTACAATGGGGGTATCTTTTTTCTAGGTGCTTTAAAAAATAAAAAAATAACAAAGAGAGATAAAGAAACAATTTTTATTTTAATATGAAATGTAATCATTTATCTTCCATAAAAAAACTGAAGTAAAGAAACTGAATGTATGATAACAAAATAAAAACTCTTTTTTTACAAAAAACAAAAAATTTTAATGCTGACTCAGCATTAGAGGAGGTGTTCTATGTGATTGCCATTCACTCTCACGCATGTTTCAGAGACCTACGTCTTAGAGAATGACGCACTCTTTCAAATACACCTGGCTGGTCAGATATCCCCAA